GAGTGACAGGGACAGTCTGTTTCTTTGTCAGCGTGTGTTATGTCTCTCTATACTGTCTTTTTTTTGCCTTTTTCATTAGTGAATAGGATATAAGAAGTCAGTCTTTGGTCTATCCATTTATCCATGTGATATATGACAGACATATAGAGGTACACCAAGCATTAGATTTAAATTCATGTGGATCATACCACCTCTGTGTTCTTACTTTAACCAAATAACTGCTGTTGGCACAATTAGAGAGCCATTGAAAATCCAGGTAAAGTGTCAAAATTGTAACTGCTCAGGCATAGATAGAGGGGCACTGTATCATTTATGGGTGATATGTTTGCTTCTTTCATTTTCTTTTTTTTATGTGTTTGATCATCTCCTGTTGTCTGTTGGCCTCTATTTTATCCTCTCTTCCTTTTGAAAACCGCTGTCCTCTCTCTAGTTAGAGTAAGCTATGAACCTCTTGGCGCAGTGCCATCGCAATCCATTCACTACAGCTCAGCGAGACCGCACAGCCACCACTATATCCCAGAGTGTGTACCCTGTCCTTTCCAGCAGCTCCCACTTGTCAGTAAACTGGCAAAATGGCCACTTCACAGATCCCCCCTCTTCACAGCATTGTGTCCTCATGAGACACTGACAGTTACGGTGTGTGCGGGTGTGTATGCGTCTGTGTGTTGAAACGGGTGTTTGTGTGCGCATGGGTATATGTTAGCGTGCGAAAATGCGTGTATATGTGCATGCGTGGTGCTCATGGCCACAAATCTAGGGCAAGTCGAGGTTTCTGGTGCGAATGTGTGTGTGTGTGTGTGTGTGTGTGTGTGTGTTTGTGTGTGAATATCAAGCGTTTTATTCCCAAATGAAATAACCACTACTTGAAATATGTGATGTGCTTACCATGCCTACTTCTTTAAAGGATAGTAGGTCATGCTACTCCTCGGTTCTAAAAATATTTCACTTTTCACTTCACTTTTCTCAGAAGGATATCTATATTTTATTTCATCTTATTATGTAGTAATTATGTATTAGTTTAACACATGTCTAAGCCTTGCTGAAAGGAAATTTGTGTTTTCCTGCGTTTTCGTGTTGCTTATCACGCCTCCATCCAGTTTTGTGAGGCGTAATGGCTTCCATGTCAACGCAGAAGGATCCCCACCTCTCGCCAAGTGAAACCACTGGCAGTGAGCTGGGAAATGGCTGCTAACGTTTTAATGACTTAATGAGACCTAATTAGTTGAAATAGGAGAGAGGAAGAGAGGAGCTGTGGAGGTGATCTGTGTCAGTGTGTGTTGGTGCGCAAGTGTTTTTCTTCCTACAAGACTGTGTGCATGTTTGAGTGTTCTTTACATGTGTGTCTGCGTTTGTATGGGTTTTTGGGTGTGTGTGTGTTTGTGTGTGCCAGAGCGAAGTACAGCAGCTTTTCTCAGCATTACCCAGCCTCTTCATCAAGAAATGATGGTAGGGGGTCAGGCCTCATTTAATCAAGGAAAAAATTCCATCTCCCATTAACTTAATTAATCCAACGCCAGAGAAGGAGAAGCTGAAAGAAACCTCCCTGTGTGTGTGTTCGTGTGTGTGCCTCTGTGAGAAAATGTTTCTTAGCTGGATTCACAAAGAGGTCTGTCAAATGAACTATAGAGGGGAAGTTTAAATGAGATGACCTACACTGGCACATATGAAATCATGTAATGACTTAATGTAAAAGACGTTTGAAGTGACTTAACCTCATTTCGCTATATTTGTCACCTATTGACAAATTTGGGTTGTATGCAGAAGTAAACCTCATTTCTAAACTCATATGTAACACAATATGTAATGCCTTCAAATGATTTCACTTCATAAGCACTTTCACAAAGAAATCTGTCCAAGAGATCCTATAGAACCTTTCACATGTTAAATATTAAGGTCAAATGAAAATTATAAACTAACAAAATCCACAAGCCTACACCCTATTTAATCAGTTATACGTTTAGACATTTCCATAAAATCTTCATGTTTCGGTCACACTCTGAGTGGCATGCAGTAGAGTGAGGGATCCGCCGCTAGAATGAGTGATCAGCCACGAGGCAGCCGCACGGACCACACATCTCTTGCTAGCTGGGCACTCTTTGACATTTCTTGGCCGACATTCCAGAGTACTGTGTGTTTCCGATTTTTATTAAATGATGTATTTCCTCTGATTAAATGAAATGTCTTACACAGGCACACATGAAGAAGTTTGATGATTTACAAGCCACCAAGTTTTTGACTGTGGAGGTCTATGGATGTGTTTCTTTTTTTCCCAAGGACTTTGTCAAAACTAATTTCGAACTAGTGCTTTTTGGGACTGAATAATTTCCACATTCAGACAGACTACCGTCATCTGTTGGGAGGGTGTGCCTGCCAACCGTAAACAACTCAAACATCTACTTTGACTGCCTGTGTAAATGTGTTCAGTTGAATTCTGCAACAGCAGTATTGGCAGCTGTGCAACACATAAATCTGCTGCCGGGTTTGTCTATAGAAGAAGTCTGACAATAAGACTCCAGCATATGCAATATGATGTCCAAAGATGCTAAACTGCCTCTGTCAAAGTGGAGGTGCTTCAGTCAAAAAGCTAAAACTAGATGATCTATTATATCAAGGGGGAGAGTTTTGAAAATCATGATGTACATGTCAAATATAGACACTGCATAGACAAAGAGGAACAAGTACATAACAGTGAAACGATGGATGGATAAACTATGGATGCAGTGGTTGCAGTGAATTATTTTCTTCAGTGTGATTGTGTTAACTTGATCGAGCCTGCCTTGCTGTTATTAAAATACTGTATGTTGTATTGCAATTGGAGACTGTTCTCCTGTGTAAAATGAGCCTACAGGTCGTTTGTGCAGCAGCTTATTACGACCCATAGTTACGTTTTGTTTTTAGGCGACATCTAGTGGCCATAGTAGTTATGACAGGAGCAAAGGGAAAAGTGCGGTGACGTGGTATGAAGAGTGACAAAGTCCACCTTTGGAGGAGGTTGGGGTGGGTGGGTGGATGGATGGGTCAACAAAACACAGAAATATGACACAGCAGATTGGTGTGCGATTCCCATGTAAAACCAGTAGCTTATATTGTTTCTATTATCCGTGACCATTTGTTGTTATTATTGTAACCACGAAAACTGATTTTGAGGAAGTACTTATTTTAACCCAAATCATGATCTTTTCCTAACCCTAACCAAGTAGTTTTTGTGCCTAAACCTAACCGAACTGTCGCGTGTTTATTATGATAACCATGACAACTGAGGTCCGGTACACATGCCGCCGTAGGGGCGCTATTTCAGGAGACACTCCTATGGGTCATGTCAGAGGCTTGAAAAAACGACCTATATGGTTGTTTAGGTTGGAGGACTTGTTGTGCAATTGCTGCTAACCTAAGCTAACATACCTAAGCTCCTCAACGTAGCTCTTTTAAAAATGCTTGTTTTGTAGTTTTTCAGTTCTTCCATAATAAAATACAAGCATAAAAATACAGTATTTTACAATTTAAGAGAAGCACATTCAGAAGGTTCTGTTTTACTCTACTTTTCTGTTAGTTATTTTCTGATATAGTTGGCACTATAACTTAATTGTCCACTTACATGGAAAATAATTTCCTCTGGTCTTACACAGACAAGATACAAAACAGATGTTAATGAATAATGTATGACACAGTATGGGCTCATTAAAAGCATTAACAATAGATCATGTGTAGGATAATTTGTGTAGTCTGCTTGAAACAGTCTAATGTAGAGCTACATTTAACCCTTCTTTTTACAGTTTTTTCCCCTTATTTCTCTATCCATTATAATTCTACCCAGCCTCCTCATGACAGATAATTAAGTGCCATCATGTCAGTCAAGATATGAAGTCAGTTCAGTTCTTTTTATTTCTTATCTCCGTTTCCGTCTTGATCTTTCCCCTCTTCATTTTTCATTAATTCTCTTTTCTCCAAAGAGCTCTCCTTTGATGCTTTACTACATTTTTTTACTACCTTTTCTCTCTCCGTCTTGTTCTTCACAGAAATGAATTAAAACTGTCTTTCACTGCACTTACTGTTTTAAAATAGAGGAGGAAAACGCAGATATAATATCAAATTGTTAGGTGAGGTACAGCGATATAAAGATAGGAGATTGAGAAAACTGTGAGGAGTGTATTAAAATATCTAGATGCACAGTGCATTAGGAAGAATAAACTAATCTCCTTGTGTTGCCTGATAGCATTGCAAGTGCATTCATTTGCATTTCTAATTATCTGCAACTTAATTTCAAAATGATATGTTGTTTAATGACGGACTGGATGTTTATAATTTTAGATAAGTATTAAAAAAATAAACCATGGTGAAGTTTCATCAGTGTAAAATGTCTGTTTTTAAACAACAACATCTCCTTTGACTCCAGTTTATGTGGCAATCTGCTGCTCATCTCACACCAGCTCATCAACCTCTCACTCCAGGACTTCCCCTCTCCCTCGGACTTTATTGTTCTGCTGCTGACATACAAATCCCTTCATGCTTCTACACCCATTTCATTTGCAGAGCTCCTCCTCCTCCTCCTCCTCCTCCTCCTCCTCTGGCCTCCGCTCTGTCCCCAAAACACCCTGCTTCTGGAATGCACCACCCCTATCCATCTGTGCTGCCAACGCTATTGACTCTATTGAAGTTATGCTACAAAACTGACAAATGCTGAAACTGACAAAGTAGACAAAAAAAGCAAAATATGAAAAATGATGCAAATGTGAGAAAACAACAATAATCAGATTAATGAATAGAAAACATGCAGTATTTAAATTAAGCTGTGAGTGTTTACAGAGCAGTAGGAAGGTTCCTACAAGGGGTTTCATTGAGGGTCTGTTTATGTATTTTACACAGGTTATACTGTCAAATCCACTAGAAGGTGCAAATATAAGGACATATTTTTCAGAATAAAGATGATCTTAGCTGAACCTACTCTGTTGAAGGTGCAGTGCATAGTTAACATTTAGCTTTTCTTTCTTTGTCCCACACAGAAAAGCCTGTTTCGGTGGAGCTGAGCTGCGGGGCTGGGCCCAGCCATGTAGTGTTGGAGCCAGGTTCGCCCCTCTTGCTGGACTGCAATCTGGGGGCCAGCGATACACCTTTCAATGTTACCTGGCTTCAGGATGGCAAGACCCTGCCTCTGGAGGAGGGCGATGACTATCTGCAGTATTTGGGCAATGGATCCCTCCTCCTGCTGCCGACCTCCAAGGATGGCCACCCTGCCCAGGACGTGGAGGGGGGCTACAGCTGCGTGAGTGCCAGCGCCCTTGGAGCCCTGACCAGCCGGACTGTAAATGTACTCTTGGCAAGTAGGTGTCCAGCAACAGCCACAGCATGTTGGTTTATTTTGGTGCTTTGGTTTCCTACCACACTTAAAACAAAACGTCTCTCTTCTCAAAACGTCCATAGATGTTATATGAGTCTGTGATTTTGTCTGTCTTGGGGTGTTAGCTTTGTGATCTGTCCAGGGTGAGCCCTTCCTTTCTCCCAATGCCTGCTCTGATAGGCATGTAACTCTCTGCAAGAAAACACTTCTTGCTTCAGTTGAACTACTTCTTTAATACCTGAAATATGTTGATTTCACGATCATGAAAACACTGTATCAAGCTTAATTAATGCTACTTTATGTTCATCGCAGATGTTGGCCTGTGCCTCTGTGTTTGGGTGGTCAAAATGTTGTTCATCGTTTCTAAGATAATGTGATGGAAAGAATACTGGTTTGATTCATTCATCCACTTAAAGTATTCAGTTGGGTACGAACACGCGCACACGCACATGCACACGCAGGGCAATGTGATTTTTCAGATTTGTCGGGGGAATTTCTTTGCATGGATGGAGATGAACTTGGTTCTCCTCTGCCGCAGATAGGAGACTTATCCTCTGGTGGAGCGCTAACAAGTGTCCTGGGAACAGGTACACTCTTAAACAACAGTCTGTTAAAAGGCACAGAGTGAAGGAGAAAGAGTGGCTGGAAATGAAAGAAATTAACAGGAAGATGCGAGTGTGAGGGACGAGAGGACAGGCTGCAGCTTTTTAATCGCCTCTCCACGGAGGCCTCTCTCTCACACTCCTAAGTGGTAGTCTTTATTTAGTCATTAGCTTTGTGTAAAATGAGACAGTATCCTCTGTGGATGCCCCTACTTTTGTCAGCTGTCACAGGCCTATTTATGAGGATCTCTTGTTTGAGGGACAATAAGTAGTAAAGGGGAGGGAGGGGCGATGTTGGATGAATGGTGGGAAGGAGGAAAAGGTTGAAGAGAGTTTGGGGTGATGGTGAAAGGAAAGGCTTCAGAGACCATTAAGAATGACCTTCAGTTTGTGTGTATGTGTGTGTGTACGTGCATGTATGTATGTGTGTGTGTGTGGGTTTTGAATTAAACCAGCAGTGAGAGGCTATGAGATAGATGGGACCAGCGTGCAGGAGGTCGAAGCCGAACTGCCTCAACATTGACATTGAGCGGGCATTCTCATTTCCTACTGCGTCCTCACTACCAGAAATGAGACGGAGGAGAGAACATAGCAGAGATCACATCTGTGAAAACACATTATGAAAGCCACCTGCTCCAGTTTCCTTGTGGCGGTATATGATGCATGTGACCTTGTCTAAAAAAAAAACATGAGGACGTGTCGGCGCCGGAGAAAAGACAGTGAAAGATCCCACTCCTTTAAATGCAGACAAAAAAATGTAAATAGGTCTTTTAGTCTCTTAACTTTCTCTTGTGGCACACAGTGCGCACATCACGTTTCCCAAATAAATCCATGTGTAAATGATGACACTGTGAAAAAAAAAGCAGCTTTTAGTGTTAATTAGACCAATTAACCTTTCTGATTATGAGACTGCTGGGGTGAATGTCAATATTTCTTAATTCCTGCCAGCTTTCTCAACGCATTTCAATCAGCTGATGCCATAACCTGAAAAAGGGTACTTCTCTCCTCCAGGCGACCAAACTGCTCTAGTTTACATGTTTTAGTTTTTGGTCTTCATCACAGTTTTGTGTGTTTTAATATCCTCATGGTCGAAGTAAAACAGAAACGGATTAATTTATGAGATTTTTTGTAATGAATTTGTTTCTTTCATGAGAGCATTTCTGTGTCTTTCTGCCTCTCACATTAGAGTCACAAGATTATAATGAGCTACCTTGAGGCAAATATTACTGTGTTCAAACCTTCTCATTTTACAACTAAATGCACCCACCCCGTCTACAATGGTAAAGAGGACGAGAAGAACCACTTTTAAAGCTGGAAAATTCTAGTCTAAGCACATCTGACAATCTTAAGAATATATTCAAACCTTTTACTTTAAGAAGAAAAAGTATTGCGGATTTGTTGCTATTTGACAGGGCATTCCTGCATGCATGTCAAAACTGACAGAACAGAGCACCTCAATGAAGATAAAAGTGGTAGTGTAATGTAAATAGGAAATAAAAAATTCATATTGCGCATATTTTCCAGTAGCTGTTACAAATATCTATTGAGGCTGGGGGCATTCCTGATGGGTTTCCACACTGTTACTCTGCCTGAAAGCTGGGTAGCAACGAGGTCATGGGTAGAATTATCTGCTTGCACAAGGGGAGGGGAAAAGCGCTGCAATCTGATAGCTCTGGGGCCAAAGAGTGGGGCATAGATAGAAGGACGGACAAAGACGGAGAGAGATTTGGGGTAAAGTCAAGGGCAGGAGAGAGAGGGAAGAGAAGTAACGAAGAAAGAAAAAATGAGAGGGAACAAAGAAAGGCAAGATGGGGACTTTTTAATGTAGCACATGGAAGGGTTACACACTTTACATAGAGAAGGGCCCAAGGAGCTGCCTTGGAAATGTTCCTTTAAAAACATAGAAAGATCTTGTTGCTAGGAAACAGTTGGACATATTTCTGACCCTGTGGCTTGATGTGTCACCTTTCCTGGGAGTGTTACTCAGAAAAATTGCCCTGGATGTCAGCACAAGCCCAGGCAGGACAGTGTCAGCTTTGAAAAATCTGAGTGTGTGCTCTGCATGGTGCCGGATAGATCTGCCATGGAATTTCATCGCAGGCCTGGGGACACTCACGGAGTCCTGGGAAAAGACTAATATGATTATGCTTTGACAGAGCGGAGGTGGAAGCACAGCTAGTTGCCATTGTTCCTTCACAGCATGGGCAAAGTGTCTCCTCTGAACACCCTTTGCCCCCCTTTGAATTAACATCTACAGCGCTGATCAGCTGTTGTTCACCACTCACATACAGAAACACCCCACCCCACCATACACGTGCACATAGATGCACTCAGTGATCAAGTAATGTAATCACAAGCAGTCTGGATACAGGCATCAAGACACACACTAGAGTCAACACTGAAGTACAAGTAGCTCTGCACACACTCACACACATTCACTGAATCTGGCACCCTGTCAGGTGCTCTCTGGCAGTGTTACAGGTGGTGTGTTTACATGAGGGCATCAACGTGTGTAATGGCTGGAAGTGGCAGGGGTTAATCATCAACTACTCCTGAAACAGTCCACGCAACAGTCATTGCAAGACTTTTGAAATGAATCAAACGCTTTCTGCTGCTATGGCCCGAGTATGTGTGTCAGCCTCTGTGTGCACATTGAGAAACTTTGTTCCTTCAGTGCAGTAGGAAAACACAGAAGGCCAGTTTGTTGCCATGACTAACAGCTGGTGTGATAGGGCTTAGGGCCTGTGTCCCCTCGAGCTCTCAGTGGTTTGGAGGAAATCGTGTCCAAAAAAAAAAGAAAAAAAAAAAAGGGGGAATACTGAGTCTTTTGGTTGCAAGTTTGAAAACACCCAAACCTGAAAGTGGCTACTCCTGTGTACAAGTTAGAGAGACGGTGCTGGCCTCTGCTCTGAATCCTCCCTGCCATAGTTTTGTTTGTTTAAAGTCAGATGACATGTGACTGTCTCCACGCAGCTTTTTAGCCATACTAGCAGTGACTGTAGGGATGTTATTGTCAGCCTATTAGACAATTCAATAATCAGTCCACCCTTTTTTTTTTTTTTTTTTTTTTTTTAATTTTCCTGACTGAAATATCTTGACAACTATTGGGTGGATTACCATGAAATTTTCTACAGACATTCATGGTCCCAAAGGATGAAGCGTACTGACTTTTCTGATTCAGTGACCTCACTTTCAACACCACCATCAGGTTTACAATTTTACTTTTCAGTGAAATGCCTCAACAGGTTTTGAATTAGTTGCACAAATTAAAAACTGACTTAACACTTAAAATTTGCTACAGCCATGTATATAACCCGAGGATGAATTCTAATGTCTGCTTTGATTCCCTGACTTTTCATCTAGCACCACCAGTAGGTCTGAGTTTTCACTCATCCAGAAAAATAAGTCAATATCTACTGAACTGATTGGCACTGAATTGTGTAAAGACTCCCAGATGATCTATCCTAATGACTTTGCCTGTAGCAACACAATTAGGTTGACATTTGTGGTTTTGCTCTAAATGCCTTGACAACAATTGGATATATTGATGCAATTAAACTTTGTACAGACATTCATGTTCCCAATAAATTTATTGATCCCATAACTTTTCAGCTGGTGCCATAATCTGGTCAAAATTTCATGTAGTCCAATCTTTTGGTTTATGACCAGATTGTTATGGTGCAGGTAAGGCTGGACCCAAATGCAGCCAACACAGGGGAATGAAGTGCAAAAAATGTTTACTGACCATGACAGTACCCCCCCCTTAAAAACAAAAGCGCTAAGTCGGGTGAGAGGAGGGGGTCCAGAGGAAGGATCCAGGGGCCAGGAAGGACAGTAACTGGGCAAGGGAAGGAGACCGGGGCCACAGGAGCAGAGCAGGAGAGCATCCACCGATGCCCAGGGGGAAAACAGGGCAGTTTGATGGGGCAACCCGGAGGTCCGGCAAACGGACGGAACCACCCTGGAGGCCGAGTCTCTCTAGAGGTCGAGCCAGAGCACAGTGTCGCGCCTCTGGAGGGCGAGCACGATTCCAGCGAACAGGAGGCCGGCGTTGCTGGTGGAGCTTCCCTAGAGGGGGACCAGGAGTTGACTGGGTAACAGGAGGACAGTAACCGGGCAAGGGAAGGAGAATGGGGCCACAGGGAAAGAGCAGGAGAGCTGATGCCCAGGGGCAAAACAGGGCAGTTCAGTGGGGCGACCCTGAGGTCGGGCAAACGGACGGAACCGCCTTGAAGGCTGACAGCGGGCTGATTCTGGCGAACAGGAGGCTGGCAAGCAGGATGCCGGTGTCAGAAGTGGAGCTCCTCTAGAGGGGGACCAGGAGTTGACTGGGTAACAGGAGCAGGAGTCAGCTGGGCCGCCGACAGNAAGATTGGGTCTCTCCGGAGGTCAAGCCGGAGAATGGCGTCGCAGGCGGAGCCCCTCTGAAGGGCAAGCAGGATTCTGGCGAACAGGAGGCTGGCAAGCAGGATGCCAGTGTCAGAAGTGGAGCTCCTCTAGAGGGGGACCAGGAGTTGACTGGGTAACAGGAGCAGGAGTCAGCTGGGCCGCCGACAGAACATGAGGAACAGGTATCGGCTAGATCGCCAGCTGGGAATCAGGAACTGGAGTCGGCTGTTGAAAGGGCTGGGAGTTCTGGGGCTGAGGCAGTTTGGGGAACCGGCGTCTCCGTGACCTGAGTGTCTTCCCAGGGGCTCCCTATCCTAGATACCTCCCAGGGAAGGCTAGCCGGGTTCCCCAAAAAGGAGATAGGTGATCAGCCAGCGTGCAAAGGGGCCGGACAACCGACGTGGGTGCTGGCTGGGAGGAATGAGGGAGGCAAGGGTGATTGAACACAGGTGAAACACATTAGGGCGGGGCAGATAATCACCAAACAGGACAAAGACAGGAAATAAAAACATTGAGATGCACAAAGAAACCAACTACAAAATAAAACAGGAAGTGACAAAATCCAAACAAAATCTAACATGTCATCACTGTACATTTTACCCCTGAGTAAGATCTAAACTTACTAATTGTAAAATAAATAAATAAATAAATAAAGATAGCTGAGTAATTTGTTCACACCTAACCACTTATGTAATAAAACAGCGTCTCTGCCTTCAGCAGCTCTTTGAAATGTGTGAATCAGCTTTGTCTTTCCTGGGAGGTAGATTTATTTATTTAGCACTGCTGGATAATCTATGTTTTCATACTATGCAAATCTGGTCTGTATCAGTTCTGCGATTAGCTCCACATGGAGAACAGAACAGGATACAGAAAGCAGGAAGAATGACTGGCTATCAATTATTTTTGTATTAAGAATGATTCATTTATTCAGATACCTTTTATGATACAATTTAAAATGTGGCTTATGTTGGTTTTCTTCCATTACTACATACTGTATATGCTGTATTTTCTAGCCCCCAGTTGGGATTTGGAGTCTCCTTCTTTTCTGCTACCTTCCTTCTTTCTTCCTGCCTTTGGTTGCCTTGTTCTGTCTTCTCTCTCAACACTTTCCTTTGATCCACCCCCCGCTCTCTATTCCTTAGTCAGAGCTGCAGGCAAAGTGGCTGGGACAGCCAACCAGTTTTGTTCTCTTCTCCAACAGCCTGTTCGGGGTCAGAGGTTAGAGGCCCTCAGACAGTGCTCACTGCTGCTCCCTGGTGCTCAGCATTACCTACAGTAGGACGCTTTTCCTGTCTGTGTGTAAATGTGCGGAGGCTGAGAAAATTGGAGCTCTGCCAAGACTCAACCTGGAGAGAAATAATTTAGCTGAGCCTGATTAAATCCTCAAATTTCTCCTAATCACGACATTCAAGGGTATTTAAATGGTCTGAACACGTCTTTAATTAAATTACAAAAATTTAAAAAAGTACAATTTAAAAGCCCTAAAATGGTGTGAATCCAATAATCAGAAGTCTGTGAAATAAAGATTATAGAAGTGTTATGCACCGATTCTGAACTTACTCAAGCTGTTTTTAAAGTAAACCAAGTGAAATAAAGAAACTCCCCTTAATTGGGTTGTTCAAACAAGAGCTGTGAATGGGGTCGGGGTTAGGGAGCTGTGGACAAATTGTGGGCCATGGCTTTAATATAATTGCAGTCTGTCACATCATGTGTGACCTACATCAAACACAGTGTGTCCTATTCATTATACCAGAGGTAGACGACATGACACGGATTTCAAGTGATTAAAAAAGGTCAGTTGCACAGGTATTCGTTTAGATATGGGCTGTTTTTTTTTTTTTTGTGTCTTTCCAATGTCACCGTTTCTGCTTTGATAAATACCCTCCCTTATCTATCATTTCTTTACCTCCAGGTCTGTCCAAGTTCCATCAGGAGCCATCACCCCAAACAGTGCCCGTTGGGGGAGCTGCCCGCTTCGAGTGCCAGATTGAGGGAGTACCCACACCTGTTATTACCTGGGAAAAGAACAAAGAGGCTGTCACTGAAGTGACAAGGTGAGCCTTCTTTAGGTGTTGTTGTCCCTCATCTCCGTCTTATTCTATCATCTCTTCGGTCTCTTTATTCACTTACAATATCGTTGATGAAGAATCAATGTGATAATTCTGTTTTTTTTTAGGATTTCAACACAGTTATTTGAGTACTTATTCTTTTTATAGTGCTTTTTTTACCTGATACTTTCCTCTTTCTGTGTTCCCCTATTGATGTGCTAGCACTGTCCATTACATCATGTCACAACATTTCTCTTTCCTTCCTATAAAAAAAACATAGTTTAGTGAAATATATTACTTAATGTGAGAAACACACTCACATATATAAGGTTACGTGAGAATTTTATCCAAGCTGACCTCAGTCCATGGGATGTCACTTCTATTGAACTGTATTTCTACCGTTTGGGTTTTCTATTACAAAATATTTAATCCCAGTTACATAAAAGCCAGCTGTTGCAGTCATCTAATTCATTTAACAACAACAAATATTGTGTCACTGTGTTACAGTTCATTTGGAAATGTTCATGCAGTGAGATCCACAAATTATCAGTTGTTTTATATTTAATCCATGTTGAAATATGTGCTATATATAAATGTGCTTTTTCAGTTGAATAAGTTGCTTTGGATTTTCAAGGTGAAAACGCAGCCAAAGTTTTGTGTATATATATAAAAATTCTTATAGAAAATCTCATAAAACGCTCACAAAGTATGAACCTATATCAAACTTCTCACCTGTCTGCATTAGAAAAAACAGCGGGGTCACTCTACATAGGAGTTACTTGTTGATTACATCCAAGTCTGTGAGTTTCTGTTAACTGAGTGAAAAGGGTCCAAGGACTTTGACACACCTGCACGTCTGTACCCAACTGTGAATGTGAGTGCGTCACAGCTACAAGGTGAACATGAAAAATCAGAAAACCATTTCATTGCATTTAAATGTCACCTCTACATTCATTAAAGGTATGACACATACACATGGATGCAGGATCGTTTTAATGCTGTTTAATTGCAGCATCATCATTTGTTTGTATATTCCTCTGGAGCAAATACTGGATGCAATTACATGCTTCAGAGAAGGGGTCAGAGGGCAGAAATAGCTAAACACTACGATGCAAGACTTATTAATAACAATAAGAATTAACACAACATGCGGCCATGTTTATTGTCAGGTGTGGAGTGGAGTAGATAGGTCTAAGTGCACTGTTTTCAAACTAAATATTCAACATTTCAGCAGCTCTCAGAAGAGCACTGAAGAATCACCTTGAGTTTAAAACAAGCTATATCACTATATCAACATAAACCTTCTGTGCTTTTACAGATAAAAAAAACTATTTCAAAAGGTACGCCTGTTGCCTCGCTAGGTTTCTCTGTCAGTTTTCTCGCACAAATATTCTCATTTACTGGGCCACTTAACAATATTGACATTTCACTGTTGCTTCACTGGCCCCTTCGCCTTGGAATTTGTTTCCAGCCTTATTGCACAGGACTAAGTGCTAATGGCTGTTGTAGCCCTGCATGACCCGCAAACAGTGCGCTGCTTACAAGGTCTTATTGGTGGGATGTGGTTCTCCCACCTTAGGCGCCGTTAATGGCCTTTCACAAAGATGAGCCAAAGGATGTCTGATACATCACTGGCTTTTTTCTCTCTCTGTTCTCTTTTGCTCTAATGTGCCATTTCCTCTATGTCCTTTCTCCCTCTCTTGCTCTGTCTCTTCGCTATTATCCCCGTTCCATCTCTACATCTGTTTCCTTTCACAATTTTTTTTTTTTTTTTAGTGTACCTTTCATTATCTCTCTTTTTTCTTATTCTTCTGTTTTTCCCCTCCTCTCTCTCTCTCTCTCTCTCTCTTTCTCTTTTTATTCCTTACTTCTTCTTCACTCCCTGTACTTTCCTCCCTGCTGAACAGGCTTCCACTGGTCACATTTTGGTGGGATTAATTGGCTATTATAAAGGTGGTAAAAGCTTGTGGGATGGTAATATGTCTGGAACATGACATCTTTAAGACAGGGAGAGGTAGAATTAAAGCAAACACGGTAAATATCAAGAGTAGAAAAATACACTCTGTACCCAAAAAGACACAACACAAACATCCATGTATTTCAGTTACTTTTTGACTTGTATTTGTAATTGTAACCCCTCTTTGTAGTGGTTGTACACAAAAGCCTTGCTGCTGATTAAAGAACGATGGAGTCCTGTGAGGACCGAACAGGATCATCACAGAGTTGATCATCTGGATGTTTCATGCTGCAGGGCACTAAGCCATTTAGTCAGTTGTTTAGTTTTTTCTCCCTTTCTGCCTTTTGTGCAACAGGTTCATTTCCCTTCCTAACGGGGTGCTCCAGATTCTAGAGGTGACCAAGCAGGACGAGGGTGCCTACCGCTGTGTTGCATCCAACTCTGCCAGGAAGGACATCAGTCATGAAGCCAAGCTCACTGTCACCTCAGGTGAGGTCTGTTGCAGTGCTTTATAGTGTTTGAATAGGCAGCCAGGCCCCACTGGGAGCTGCCAGGCCAGTTTCAAAGAGTGCCACTCTCTCACCTTGTGTTTGTCGTGTGCGTTGTGTGTTTAAAACTACCATGACTCGGCTAAGCTAAATCACAACGGTATTGTTGCTGGTAAATATTTTATCAACGTTATTTTGCAATGAACTGGTAAAACTGTTTTGCCTAGCAGGTGTGGTTCTTGTATTATTTGTTATAATTTGTTATAATAATAACAGGTCTCTATAATAGTTAAAAATACATTTTAATGGAATACAATAGAATACAGTGAATCGTTTCTAGTTGCAAGTACATTTAGAAATGGTGTGTTTACTTCCAGGACTGTAGTCACTTCAGCTGTACAAATAGGTGACGCTGCACATGTGCAGTAGCTGCTGTCAGTGAATGGTGATTGTACAGTGTCTAGCCGAATCTCTCGCTCATTCCCTTACAATATAACCAGGAAGAGGAGAAGAGAGTTGGTTTAATGTGATCAAAATATTGCATTAATATAACCACATAGAGTTACTTCAGCACCAGGGTCATCACTGTCGTTGTGTATTACAGTGTGGATTAGGGACCTGATTAGGGAACAGTATATTTGAATATTTAACTGTTTCCATTGAGAAAAAAAACGACCCTTGCCTCTGTTTTTCGTCAAGCTGGACAGCAGATAAACCGTGTTTGGATATAACATTGCGTTCAGTTCAGAGTTAAACATTTTGTCACTCAACTCATTGAAAAGGCTCAAGGTTTAGAGCCATGTCACTTGTCTGAATTGATATCTGACACTCAGGTTATCTGGGGAACACTTTACCCGTTAATGAAAACAAAGAGAAGCAGTATTCAGTTGTGTAATTACAACAAATTTTCTTTTATCAACTCAGCACTTCAGTTACCTTTGCCATTATGCAATGTTACGTATATATTATTATATATTTAATTTTCCTCTCCATTTCTCTCTGAAAGCATATTTATTATATAAGCACACAAAGTGTTTACTCTGTTTTTGAGAGTTCTGTACATTTACCGTGTCCTTCAGGTTTCATTTGCTGCAACACAGTATTAATAAATGTTTATTCTCTGATCGTTGACTGACTATAGTCACCCCCTGTATGCTGCTGACACTGGGTTTACACTTTTAATTTAGTCTTACATAAATGTCTGGCACTGTGCTTTGATCATCTTGTGAGTCACTGATAAAGCCTCATTATCTTAAAGAGCTGCAAATTTTTCAGTGATTCAGTTTTGTGAATAAATTTCCAATTCAGGTGCAAATTTTGTTTAAGTCATAAATAAGTAAGTATTTATGTAGAATTCACTAAATTGTCTTCCAATAATGTTCTTATTAGTACCTTAAACTGAATCTGTTATCTAGATAGCCTTTTCTTTTCTATAATGTGACTCAATTTACTATGATGAAAATTAATGCACATCATTACACCACAGACAAGAAGAAATCTAACTATCAAATGTCATGTACATCAATTTATAATGACATGGCAATAACCAAAGTGTAAATGTTGCATTTTTGGTGTAATTATGCTTGAATCCATGACACTCCATGCTAACAATAAAATGAAACAAGTAATGCTGTCTGATCAGTATACTGTGTGTTCAACATCGGACTATTTTGACGTTAGCACACACCTTTGATCAAAACCTTGCAACCTACAAGGACTTGTATTGGTGATTACATGATGCTTTGAATCACTCGCGAGTATTGTGAAGTGAGTTTTCACCATTAGGCAGCCCACATTAAAGCCATGCCACATTATCTGCCTCTGCCACTAGCTAGCGAGAGATCAGTCAACTTTAATTGGCTGCTCTGTGGAAACCATTGTGTCCTTTTTGAGTCACCGCTTTTGTGTCCTTCAAAAGAAAGACAAAAAACAAGGGTGATGAAAAGAGAGAGAGAGAGAGAGAGAAAGCAAGATGAGGCCAATGCAAGTGAGTCAGATGCAGCACATGTACATTTAAAGTTTCCACACAGTTGTTACAGCAACCTTTCAAGTTCTTATTTTCATTTTCAATTCGAGTTATCAAGTCATCAAGTTCAATCATATCATATCAGTTCAAATCTCAGTTTAATGATGTTTTTGTTTTCATGCTTTAATCGTCATTTGAATACGAAATATAAATATAAGAGGGAAAATAATCCTCTCAATGAGCATTTTAAGAAATGAGTACATGTATATATATATATATATATATATATATATATACATATATACATATATACACATAGTCCTTTACGTCTGCAGAATATGATTTGCAGGCCAAGGCATCTCTGAAGCAGCACAATGCCTCATTTATGTACGTTGTGAAACATTTTACCTGTATAAAAAAAAATTGGAGCTTCTGCAATTTTGGATATTACACTTTTACACAGTTTCGATACTATTTTTGATTAATTGTTCAGCACTAATATAAAATTTTATAAATGTTATTTTCTCTCTGTATTCTTGCTGCTGTTGTGGAACCCTTGAAGGAAACTACTTGAAGGCTCTATTGTGAACCATTAAATGAAACAGATGTCAGATCTAATGTCATCGCTTCACTCGCTTGCACTTCAGAGTTCTATGAATAGAATACCTCAACTCTCATAGCCAAGCTCTGACAGCTTGATGCTGACATCAAGTTCAAATACTTGAGAGGATGTAGAAAAATATGAAACGTCCAGCTGCCTTAAACCCCCACCTTTTATTTTCTTCCACTTTTTCCTTAACGACCTCTTTGTTTCTTACATGCTTTACACTGCACCACACCCATCATATCCTCACACAAGACCCCTACGAAGGTGCACCCTGCATTGCAGTCCTCACAAAGGCAGACTGACACAGTTAAATCCCTACGCACAAGCAAGGGTTGTGGTACGTAATCTGAATATTTAATTTATAACACGTTTACAGAATGCCAGGGGTCTTTCTGGTGATCATTAGCATTATGTGCTACTGAGACTGCCTGGGCTGAGCAGAATTGCAGGGAAGGACCTCTCACACCAACAGTACCTTGGGGACTGAGACACACTCAAGAAATGAGTATGTGGTCCTTTCAACCCATAAACAATATGCTTTGACTGACATCCTTAGTCACTGAAGAGATGTGCCTCATTTCCATAATTTGAGGTCATTCCATCAACTGACTTAATGGTTTACCTTTTCTCTCACAAAAGGATTTTCTCTTTCGTGTTCTCTCTTCTCCCTCTTCTCCCCGTGTCTCAGAGCACCTCTTTGCACTATGAGATGTCTGTCATCACTTCGAAATATCCCCTCCTTTCTCTGTCTCACTATCTCCCCTCAGTCGGCTCTTTGGTTCATGGCTCATTTGTGGTTTTGTACAATATGTTTGCAGTGTGTTAGTGAGGGACCCTGTCAGATGGGAGCTGCTACCTGTAAATAATCATTTGTGCTGTACGGGGCTTCCATCCTTTCCCCAGCATATCCTCTCACATCAGAACCTCTCTAATCAAGGTTTCCTATTAGATTCAGCTCCTATCCGCATCCACCATCTAATAAGAGTTGATGAAGCCTCAACCAGATACCAATCAGCCAGCTACAGAGACTGTTTTGATGATGAAGTGACTTGCTGTGTTAGAAATGAAGTCTATCTCTGAGTCACTGAAAATTCCTCTGAGGTCAGCTCTTTAAATCCTGTCCTATCTTCTGGTGCAGTACACAGATTTTCTGATATGGCATGAACATCATTACAGCTGAGACCTTTGCGTAAAATGCTAACTGCCACTCAGTTGCAGGCTATGCTAGCAAATATTAATGCAAAGGATTATCCGTTTTTGGTTCTCACCTGCATTTCCTTTTGTAGGACAGAAGGGCAGTGGTTCAGCTATGTGTCCAAAATCAGCATTTCTGCTTCTTTTTAGCCATTTTATCAACTAAAAACAAGGTGGCCAACACAAGATGCGTATGCCACCACCCACTGGACATGAGTATGTTCAGACGCCCTGCCTTGTAATGGGTTATGTAACTTGAACTTGAAGTGTGCATACAGGAGTAGAAGGTAAAAGGTAGCAGGTAGAAGGTAGAGGGTAAATTTGTTCGCCAAGGGTGCAAGGACTTCCAACAACTCATCCTGAAATGGGGAGGAACCCTAATCACACCTCAATAAGGAAAACTGTTGACTAAAACTTTAAAGGCTGACCGCTTTCCTTTATTTATCTCATCTTCTTTAACCTAATATTGTAAGTAGTTGAGAACACATGCTGTTATGCTGTGATTACAACTTAGAGTGGTTAGAAGCTTTTTAGCACAACTTTACTGGTGGTGTTACATAACCTTTACTCAAGTACTGTACTTAAGTACAATTTTTAGTTGATAAAAGTAATAATATAATTTATATTTTATTCTGAAATGCTATGTAAGGTGTTTAATTTTCAAGTATATTTTGATGCTACTACTTTTATACTACTTAAGTTACATTTTGAATGCAGAACTTTTACTTGTAACAGAGTATTTTATGCTGTGGTATTGATACTTGTATTTAAGTAAAAGATCTACTCTAGTATGTATAGTACTAGGAAGGGTCAGAAACTTCTGCAGTAATCACTGAGACATGGGACGGAAGCGGACCGGATTGCCATTTTGTTTCACTTCACTGGTGAATATTGAAGTCAGTGGAGTCAAACTGTCAACTTTCCTGTTAGAAGCACTAATTTACCTGAGACTGATGTATGCACTTTTTTTGTTGTTGTAGGCTCTACTGAAGCCCTGAACAGAGTTGTGATTGTTGCACCACCTCAGAATGCCACGGTAGTCCTCGGCGGGCCAGCTGTGATGGAGTGTATGGCACAAGGCCAGCCGAAACCACTGGTGTCCTGGAGCAGACAGGGTAATACTAGCAATTGCTGTTCCTTGCTGTACTTGCTGTACTTTCATTATCTGCATCTCACTCTGTAACTATCTGTTTTTCACAAACGAAGAACAAACTGTTATATTTCAGGATCAGATTTGCATACCTGTGGCTGTACAGCTGTTGTTTTAGTGATAATAGCTGTCTCTTCTCAACCAGTCCCCTGCTATTCTATTGTGCTTTGAGCCAAGCTTTACATAAGATCATTTGTCACACTGATTCATTCACACCTCCACAACTTTGATGCATAAACACATGAGCACACACAAATACAGACACACACACTTGTGAAGTCTTGGTGGGAATGAAACGTTTGGAATTCCTTCTGCAGCCTCTGATTTGTCTGCATTAAAAATTCTTCCTTCATTCCCAATTAATGTTCGAGGGTTACACATTATGTCAGTACTCAAAAACTGCACAACACTATGCAGATCATCAGCACTGCAAATTAGTAGTTGGTGCTTGCTTAGTGGCTATATCTTGATCACTATTTTCCAGTATGTGCTGTTGTGAGGTAATTGACTTGTACTGTACGGGATGATCAGTCGGGTCTGTAGAGCATCCGACAACCCTACAAAATGGCGGATCAACTAAATAGTGGTCTATATGGTGAATAGTGAGTGATTTCACTTGCAGCCCAGGAGTGTGGCAGTGCAGGCGGCTCAATGAACCCAGACTGAAAAATCACAGAGCCACCTGTTGGTCAGCTTGTGTGATTACAGGTCAAATCCCCTGCTGCTCAAAGTGCTGCCTCTCTCCTTTGTGCTGTTTTTCTTAGGTGGCAGAAAGCCCGAGAAATGATCTCCACTCAGGGCCAATTTAGTTTTTTTTTTCATCTGTATGATCTGGCACTGTCCTTTGTTGTTCTCTGTTGCTTTCTCCTTTCATCAGATGGAAAGCCCATTTCCACTGATGTGGTCGTCCTCGCAACAAACCTGGTGATTAGGGACACAAGGCGTCACCATGCCGGCATCTATGTCTGCCGGGCCAACAAGCCCAAGACCAGAGAGTTTGTCATTGCTGCTGCTGAGCTGCATGTGCCTGGTAAGAGTCATGTTATGTACTGTACATAATGGTAGATGAGACATTTCTCAGAGCTGATTCATAGAGACTACTTTCTGTCACCAGCTTTGTCTGAAGTCACCATGTAACTGAGGGTCTGGTGGTTATAGAAAAAACTAAAACATATAAGTACAACTTAGAGGTTACTTCTATCTATGCACACAAGCTCAATTTTAGCATAATCGTGTATGTTAAGTCATTAATTTTCTATAAACCCAGAGTTTAATGGCCAGCTTAGCTGCTGGTGGATAACTGCCTCTCAGGGTGCCCCTGTAGCTGAGGGGGGTTGATGCTGATCACGAACTTTGATATTTGATTGGATAAAATTATGTGCATGCCTCGAGTTCAAGATGAGTCATCATAAATAATGTAACGTTTTATATGAAGAAAAAAGTTAGGAATTTTCATAATTTATGTAAGAGATAACTGTAAGTTTTTAGCCAAAATTTGTATTTGTATTGTTACATCAACAATTGCTCCTCTGCAACAAAATGCTAATGCTAACACTAATTCCTAATTAATATAAAATATAAAATGTTCATCTTTAAAGGGGCACTCCAAGATCTAAAAAAGTTGCTATCACGTTGAATTAGAGGAAGCTACATCACTTTTCACTTTCCTTTTAAAATCTGTCTTGCAAGATTCACTACTTTATCCAAGTGCAATATTAAATTTTCCTTTAGTTTTACAGTGCAGAAGTAAAAGCTTTGTTTCCTACTTTCAATAGCCCCTCCAGTGATCCTCCAGCCCCCAGAGACAGTGTCCCTCTCCCGGGGAAACACAGCCAGGTTTGTGTGCAACAGCTCTGGGGAGCCTCCTCCCGTGTTGCACTGGCTGAAGAACGGCCAACCCATCAAGTCATTCAGACGAGTGAAGACCCAAAGCCCTGGAGTCCTGCTCATCAACCAGCTGGCACTGGAGGATGCTGGGTACTACCAGTGCATAGCAGACAATGGGCTGGGCACGGCCTGTGCCACTGCCAAGCTGACGGTCATTGTGAGGGAAGGTCTGCCCAGCCCTCCTCGTCACCTGTCTGCTACACCCTACTCCAGCACGACTGCTCTGCTTACCTGGGAGAAACCTGAGTACAACTCGGACCAAATCATCGGCTACTCTGTGCACTGCCAGCGCGCTGCAGGTGTTTCTCTATTCATAAGTGTGTCTGTCTGTGTAGCCATATAATAGCCATCTCCACATTTTCCAAAAAAAAAAAGTTTTTGATTTGAACATTTTTTTATCCTTTCCAGGCTCGGATAATGTGGAGTACCAGTTTGCGATGAACAACGACACCACGGAGTATCACTTCAAAGAGCTTCTCCCCCATACTGCATACACATTCTTTGTGGTGGCTTATTCTCCCATGGGTGCCAGTCGCCCATCCCTGCCTGTTACTGTAGAGATGCTGGAGGATGGTGAGTTATCAAACTAATAAACAGGTAAAATAATGCCTGGGATGCTTCAATGAATCACACAGCAAACACTATTAACTCCACGGGATTTTTAAGCACTCATGAATCATCAGTGTCATCCATTCAGTGTTTTTTGTCACTATTAGCTACACAGCAGCTCGGTAGAGACATGACGCAAGAGTATTTCTTTACAGCTGTTTTTAAAAGCTGATCCAACATTTTATGTCATATTTTATTGTAGAAGAAGATGATCAAACTTGACCAATTCTTTAAGAAAACAAAGTATAGTTTAGTTATAGATACAGTGTGCTTTACAACTGTGCAGATATGTAGGATATGGCTTGAATGTGAATCATCAGACAGCTCAGTATCTCCTTTTTTCATTCCCTCCTGCAGTACCGAGTGCACCTCCTCAGCTGTCTATAGCCAGCACCTCCCCAACAGACATAAGGCTGATGTGGCATCCATTGTCCTCGCAGCACAGTCGAGGAGCTGTTACCCGCTACCGCATTGAGTACAGCTCTCTGGATCAGGGTTGGTAACGCCTGCTGGACAATGCTGACAAGTTGATTTTAACTGCCAGTGAAAGAACATCTTTGTGACACACTGATGGGATAATTTGGGAGATATTGGTTGCTTGACAGCATTGACAGTCTACTTTACCTAATGAAATTCTATGTGATTTCGGAAAATAGTTCATACTGGTTTAAGAGTGCAGAGGTTCACAAATTTGTATGATAGGGTTAATTACATTTGGACAGTGCAAAAGAGTATGTGCAGAACAGAATCATTCATTCTGAATACCCATCTCTCCAGAATGTACAGAGAGATCAAGCTCACTCTGAAAGGAGCTGTTTTCATAACAGTTTGTCCTTGAAAGAGCAATTTATTTGAATTATTGCAGAAACAACACAGTAAAGAACTCATTTTCCCCCTCTACATTATATATAATCTATTGAATCATCACTTCCAAGACAAAAATATATAGCTCTGCTTTTTCTCTAAATAAACATCCAGGCATATTTGTATATATGTATATGTAGATATACTGTATAAATGGGTATAGATGTGTGAGAGTGTGTATTGTCTGTTTTCACAGCGGACACAGTGTTCACAGTGGAGGTAGGGGGTAACGAGACTCAGTTTACACTGAGAGAACTGCAGCCTAACCAGGCCTACCGACTGAGGATAGCAGCTGGAACAGGTGTTGGCTTTGGGATCCCATCTGAGTGGGCCCAGCACCAAACATTAGCCCACTACAACCACAGTGACCACAGTATGGGTGAGGACGACACCAAACCTTGTTCATTTCTTAAATTCTGTAACTTTAATCATTTGTAGTGGTAAAGTCAGACCTATCTATATCCTGTGTTTGTCAATCACAATAGACATGAAAATAATATCTGCATTTGACTCTTAGTGGATAAATATATCTTGAACCTAATAATTTAAATTGAGACAGTTTAAAGAATAGTTTTTGGGTGTTTCAATTGTAACTGTGAAGCTTCTTTATACATTTAATATTGTATTGTAGCTTGTAAACAATGATGCATTTAGCTATTTTAAAATGGGAAAAAAAGCACTAGGCTCACCTTGACGAGCCAGGTAGATGGAGAACTTTTTCAGACACAATATCAATAAGAAAAATCTCTGAGATTGTTTTTCCAAGATATTCCACATCAACACATTATCATAAAACAGCTAATAAAATAAAGATTGAATGCGCATCATAGGAGCATTAAAGGCAATATATAACATAATATAATAACATTCACCATTTAGTCACTTAGACATACAAGCAGGCTAACAGTCATTTGTAATCTCATTAAACAAACTAATATGAATTTTTGTATCCCCTACAACATGACACATGTGACAAGTAGTGAGCTGGCAGTACTGTATAGATTTAGAGAGTATGTGATCTTTTTTACAAACAACTGGTCAAAATAGAGCCAGAGAAGTCTCACAGGGCTTAAAGCAAGGATAATTTCTCTGCAAAATATACACACACAAGCAAATAACAACTGGATGATATTAGAGATTCTTTGTTGGTATGAGATGATAAAAACATAGAATTTGAATGGTCCAAATGGAATAAAAATGCATTATACACTCACTCATTCCTCAATCAGAAACCATAGTACATACACAGTAATTGTATGCAAGTCTAAGCACAACTTTCGAAGCCATAAAGATTAGCCTATCCAATACGCCTATCTTTCAAACTTTTCAACGCTCGTTCCTCCGTTGGTCTCTGAATGGCGTAGCGGCATAATAGGCCTACTGTTGTCAAACGATGTTGTTGCCAAATAAGTCCAAAAGATACTATGATATCAACCATGATATGACGAATAGCCTTCTGATTGCAGTGCTTTTTCAAAGTAGCGCGATCACGTGCATTATTGAGCTGACTCTTCACTGAGCCAAAGTGTAAACAATGGTTTTTATTAAATAAAGTAGGTCTACTTGATTAATACAAAATATAGGGTTCCTTATGGCTGTATATATAACCTATATATATAAACAATATATGTAGCCATATTCTTGCTATGCAAGAGTTAAAAAAATATGCAAAACTATTTTCCATAGACATATAATTATCTATTTTCAAATCTGAAATGGCCCTGGCACAGTGCTGGAGAACTTTAAGTGCATGGTCTCATGTTTAATGTTGCATCACGTTGACCTGGTCACAAGAGTTGTTTTGTTTTTTTTTCTTCCTCTTTTTCAGTGATCTTTGCCCCGACTGAGCTGAAGGTCAGAGCCAGAGTGAACACACTCAATGTGACCTGGCATCCCTCACCCAATCACACACTGGTCTCTGGTTACAAGCTGTCCTGTCGTGAGGTCGAGGCCGAGGAGTCAGCCAATGGGCAAAGGAGCACACAAACCCACACCATCAGGCTCCGTAAGAAGGCTCGGTATCATCTCCTCACTGGGCTGGGTGAGTTGTTAACAGAGGCCACACCACGTTCATGGTCATCTTTGTTAACTTTGTATTTAGCTTCCTCTGGCGAAATATTAAATCAAATGATGCCCACTTCCCTTTAGAAAAATGTTTTTGCACACTTAAGGTATTGCTAGTTTTGAGATAGTCATCTTGCTTCAGTTCTGAGCAAAGGAATGCTTCTTTTACTGGTGTCCTTGGCAGATAGACCATTGTATTTCACTCTCAGGTTGTTTAACAAGAAATCTTAGACTTGAAGAGTAATTAACAGACACACAGGCAGCACTCATGAAAAATAATCATGCATCTTGTTCAAAAGCTGTCTGGCATTGTCAGGATTCTCAGAAAAGGGACCTGAGACATTGGCTCATGATACAGATGTAAAAGTAAAATCCAAGCAGGCAAACAAAGTACAAAGGACCCAAAAAACACATGCAAGGTCCAAAACAATCAGGAATAAAACAGGCAGGTAAAGAACAGAGCAGTGGAAAGCAAAGGCACATAGCACAAAGGTAACCTGACAGAGAGCAGCCGGAAATGGACCGGTGTTTGTAGGAGGGAGCTGGTGCTGGAGCTGAGGGAATAGGGAAGAGGTGAATAGGTGAGTGGGGAGGGAGGAGCAGCTCAGGTGATTCTACTGGTATGAAAAGGCAGGCAGGTGGGAGTGGCATGGTCTGAAATGACAGCAGAATAAGAACGTGTATGCACAAACAACTGCACTGAATGAGTGAAAGAATGAATGAACAGACAAACTCAAAACTCAAAACAGTTGCCATTCATGCTTTTCAGGATACAGGTGCAGCATCTAGAGAGACTGCTAATGGATTGACTGCATTTAGATTACACCTAGGGCATGATGACAGCACTTAGAAGTCTTGTCTTTGTAAGAGCCAGTCTGGGTATACTCTATACAGCATGTACGACTATCATTCTTTTATCTATTGTGCTTAATATTTGGTCCTCCTTTTCCCTCTTTCTCCACTCCTCCCTCTCTCCCTCTCACTCTGTCTCCCTCTCTCACGGTGTGTTTGCATGTGTCAGTCCCTGACCGGCAGTATGAGGTGAGAGTTTGGGCATTCAACAAGCAGATAGATGGAGCAGCTGCAATGTGGAAGGGAAGGACAGACAAAGCCCATGACAGAAGTAAGATAACTCTTTGCATGTGCGCGTGTATAGATGAATGAATGAGTGTAATAAATAATAAGAAATTATATTTACACTTCCCAAGATTCAAGACAAGTGATGTGTATGTGTGTGTGTGTTAAAGCACCGTCGCCGCCCATGCGCCCCCCTCCGTTGCCCCCAAGCAGCATCCAAGCCACAACCAACAGTTCCACCTCCATCTGGCTGCGGTGGGAGAAACCGCGGTTCAGCAACGTACGCATCATCAACTACACGGTGCGCTGCAGCCCAGCGGGAACCACAAATGCCTCTCTGGTCTCCTACCACACCAGGTCAGAACACCAGTACCACAACAATGCTCTCTGCATAACCTACGGTGTAGTAAGGTCTACATCACAAAGCTCTATCTTTTTTTAATGATACACAAACCCAAACTCTGGTCAATTAAACACCTTTTGAAGCAACATGATTTTACTTTTAATAAAAATTGGTCACATGTTTTTCAGCCACTCTTAGCCAGAGCAAAGAGATATTGTGTATTTAAATCCTTGAGTTAGTTGGGCATTTGTTTTTTATTGGCAAAACCTGTTTAGCTTTGAAGTCACTGAATTGCTCCCTTAAATAAAGGCTCTTAGTTTAGGCTTTTCTCTTGCTTTGCTCCTTTGTCTTTTTTTTGACAGCTTTTTAATCTTTAACAGCACCTTGCCCTCTGCGTTTCTTATCATAAAAAATATTGTCCGACATCAAACAAACCAATGTGAGAATTCCATCATATTTTGAATAACATTGGGTAGCTCCATTATTAACCATCATTCATACGGCAATCAAAGTGAAGTGTCAGTATGAGGTGTCTAAGAAGCACCATCTACTAGCACATAACATTGCCTCTATACTGATATTGCCTTCTACACTTGTAACACTTGTCTTCAGTAAGGGTATAGAGCTCTTGGGCTGAAGAGGTGCAGAAATACCTACAACCGCAGTATATTAACAATAGCAGGTGATAAGAGGTGACGCTATAAAGTTAATAGATATTGTAGACTAGAGTGGTCCACAAGCAAATCTAATTAAATCTTTCTTTTGATGTAGAATAGAAAAGACACAACACACACTCAGGACTCTCACCTATTTGTGTGTTGCAGCTCTGCTCAGGAGATACTGCTCGGGGCATTGAAGCCCTTCACCCGTTATGAGCTGGCTGTACAGTCTAATGGAGTGGATGTGGTGGGACCCTTCAGCGGCACAGTGGAGGAGTCCACTTTGTCTGACCGTGAGTCTGCACTGTGCTCCTGTCAATTTAGTCACTTGACTCTCTTTCCTGTTTTAGTTTTTAATGACCCAGCGTTCAAAAGGCTTTACGATTTCCCTGCAGGCTTTAAAACATGATAAGTAATCAGCAATCTTCTTGCGGTAGGTGGGAGCATTCTTACATGCATTTACTTGGTTAGAGAATTCACTCAAATGTGTGTTTCATCTTTTCTGACTCGTGTTGTATGGATGAATGAAAATACTCCTTTCCCTCAAAACCTCTGCAATGCCCTTGAACAAATCACTTAACCTGCTCAAAGAGTTAAAGGTTAAAGAAAGTAAGAGCTTAGATTTTCTGGGTATTCATTGAAAGGACCTTTAAATTGTACCTGTTTTATGTTATCATTTTGATATTGGTCTCGAGCTAGGGAGGTAAAGGTGTTCAGCTTTTGCTTTCGTAAGTCTTCAAATGCTGTAATATATGTGTGTCTGAAGGTCTGCTTTAGTGCCTGTGCATGCAAGTAAATGTGTGCACACAGAGGCGGTCCTGACCTCCTTGGGGCCCTAAGCAAAATTCTGCTAAGGGGCCCTCTTACCTGACCTGTGAGACCAAATTTATACTATGGCTTGGCTGAATACTTGATGTTCATTTACTGAGAGATGTGAATGCACATGGCCCTGTATGCCCAGGTAATCCACATTTTAAATTCAATATTTATTCAAAAGTCAGTGTCCGTCCATTGTGTTCATTCTTAGACTGGAGTTGTGAGTAAACCTTGACTGAAAGACCAGATAGTCATTGTCTTGTTTTATGTGTGTGCCTATGAGGACGAGTGCCATCACACCCATATATTGTCTGGACTAGTCCCTACAGAGGCTGCTGCTGGAAAGCACAAATTTCATTTGGTGCATGATTATCTTTTCCAAGCTGCAGTTTATAAACATCGTGGTCTGTTGGTGTTTATCAAACGTTATATATAGTTGTATTTCATTCTTACTTTTGTCAGGCACAAAGTCATAGAAAATGGCTGCAAGTAAGACACTGACAGACCGAGAGATGCACTGCCCAGCTAGGTTAGAGAGACAGACAAATGAGAAAGAGATGCACATGAATTTTTTCTCTTTTTGTGACCAGGGTTCTGCTTCTTCCTCTCATCGAAGTTGTGAATGTTGACACTCATTTTGACATGGGGGGGAGAGGGGGTCTTTGTGTGATTTGCAGAACCCTACGCTACTTGTGTAGTGAGCATGTAGGACCACCTGGCTCAGTTTCAAGGTCTCTTGTGGGACATTTCAACTGCTGTTGGGGGCCCTCTGGTGGCCACGGGGACCCTTAGCACTTAGTTCGTTTATGCATCGGGCCGAGCGTGTGTGATCACTAGTGCAAATCAGTGTGCCAGCTGGCCAGTGCTAGTGAACATGGGAATTAGTGGTTGGCATCGATGACCGATAACTGGCTGTAATCAAACACCCAGGTGTAGCACTGTCTCTTATGTTGGCCAGTAGCTCTTTCTTCCAGCAAAGTAAGGGTGGTGAGTGTAGAGTAGAACACTTTTAATGACATTATTACTACCAGTCACCCCGTCACGCTCTCCCCTACCAAGTATCATCACCTGAGCCCCAGCCCATTCCCCCATTGCCCTGCTTATCCCCTCTCTCCTGTACCCAGGTGGTGAGGACATGAGGACGCAGATGGTTGGTGCACAACATGTCAAATCCCCCACAAAGACAATATACAATCCCCAGCTGTGAGGCCTCATTTCTGGGTTCTAATTACTGACCCAATCCCTCTTTCTCCTTCAGGGCCCTCCACACCTCCGGAGGAGCTGCAGCTGAGTGCTCTGGACTCCTCCTCTGTGCTGGTGAGCTGGCGCCCTCCACTGGAGCCTAATGGTGTCATCATCAGCTACATGATACTGTACAGTGGCAACCTCAGCCAGCCTGAGCACCTGTGGAAAAATCTCTCCCAGGATGGTGGGTGTGGGCTGGCATGACTTGACTTGAATGCTTGGCACAATAAAATCTGTATGATTGAAGATGGATCACAATATTTCTCTGCTGTCGCTGTCTTTTTCAGGGAGCATTACCAGCGTGGAGGTCCAGGGTTTGTCCAGTGGCACCCATTACTTTTTTAAGTTGGGAGCGTCTACTGAGGTGGGGCCAGGGCCTTATTCACCTGTAAAGGATGTTCACACTCCCCTTCAGACATATGGTACATATCATGTAGTATATGTATAGGTGACAATAATAAGTAGAAAAGAAATAATAGTAGTTTTAGGAACACTGGTAGCAGTATGGGGGAGGAAAGGAAAGGAATTTTGACAGCATGGGAAAGAAACAGAAATCTAAATCAAATGTATGCATTTTCATTAACAACATTTTTTTGATGATTAATTGATGATTTGTTATTATAATTTTTTACATTCAGAACATAAAAGCAGAAGTAACAATACATTTGCTATTCTTTCCTTATTTTAATCTTCTTCATTCACACATTTGTTTTTCAATACTCTTGAGGACTCTCATTGATCCTCATTCATGCATTCCCTGTCCTCCAACCTTAACCAGTTCTAAATTTAACCTTAAAACTAAGTCTTAACCTTCAAACAGTCCTTTGAAATAGTGATGACACATATCAAAAATGTCCTCACGATGAATAAAACTGAAATTGGTTCTCATAAAGATAGCAACACAAGGCCACAAACACACTGCCACACTCACGCACACATACACACCCAGTCTTTCCTATTAAAGTGGGTAATTTTTCCCTGCCAGCAGAGAAATGCAGCTCTGCAGGACACAGTTATTTCTCCTCTTATATTCTAGTGCATTTTGATGATAATATTAAGGGTGGATATCAAAGGGGCAGCATCATCAGCGACTCCAGGGGAGATCTGTGAATTACTGCTCTCTGTACCTAGCAAAATTGCTGTGAAAAGCACTTTCTTTACTCTCATGTCACTTTGTGTGTAAGCATACAATGTCATTATATACTTTTTAATTCCATCGGTCAGCATTTTAGCTTTACCTATAATTATTAAATGCCCTTTTTGTTTTTAAACAGAGGGAGTCATAAATTGAACCAATAACGCCCCTGTGAAAGATTATTCACCATGTGCCTGTTAAACACGTTGTTCATACAACTTCTTTACAAACAGTATCACAAACAGTATACAGTATAAACACATGTAACAACACATGTATATACTGTATATATATGTATATATACTGTAAATATTGCATTCCTAATACATACATTGAAAATGCAATTTTATATAACACAAACCCTTAATAAAGACAGAGTAACAGGTTTATTTTGTTCACGGGCAGTGATAGTGTTGCCAGTATGCAGTGTGAATGGGGCCGAGGTGGCTGGTGGGTGGGTGAGAGTTTTGGCCATCTGTTTCCTCTTCATGTCCAGACTGCCAAAGATACCCAGCATAAATGAATATCAATGAAGGTCTGCTCTCCCAAGCCGAATATTGCCTTATATCCCTTTGCCAAAGTAACTTTGTCTTAAATGAAGAAATCAATACATTTTCACAGACTGTATTTTTTAAGATGGAGCTCTGGATATCAGCCATACATGTTTATTGGCAACAGCTCAAATATGAGAATGAACATGGTATTTATTTTTAAGATCTGAAATGTTTCTGCCAGGTGTAAACTCTTTTTTCTTCTTTTCCATCTTACATTGTAACAGAGCTGGACATCCATGCAGTCACAGGCATCATAGTCGGTGTATGTCTGGGACTGATATGCATCCTCCTCTGCATGTGTTTTAGCTTTCGTAACAGCAAATCCAGGTATGTTAACACTACAGTGTCAGTACTTGTACTGCTCTTATGCATTCATCTACTCTCCCAGTGTATCTTACTTACAGAAAATGTGTCACAAACTGAAAGCCTATATCACAAACCAGGCAACTATATTGAAATTCAGGCTTGTATAATGTCCCAACTCCTATACCATCCCTCTCATCTCTGCTCGACATAGGGATATATCTGGGGGCCTGGACTCCACAGCTGTGACCCCTCAATACAGGAGAGGAGGCTGCCCCATACCCTCCAACTTGCCAGAGTGCAACGATAGCCATGAGTTGGAAACACTGATGCCCCCAGGCAGCCAAGAGTCTGGTCAGCCGCTAGCAGAGGCCCCAGAGGAGCAGAGCCTGATGGCAAGTGCTAATCCAGGGGAAGGGGAGGATGGCCCTGCACCTGAACCCAAGGTCAAAACCTGCAAGGGGGGACCTCTTTTCCAGATGGGCCTTGGATACACTGTTATTTTTTTATGTGTTGATAGAAAGATAATAGTTCTAATTTTGATGCATCCATTGTGTTGTTCATCTTGCAGGCTGCTTGGAACGGCTCTGTGAGTCATAACTGGGCCAACAGAATCACTAGATACAGAGACACCATAACAGAAGACTGTCCAACACTCATTAACGGAGCTCTCAACATGCTAATTACTGATAACGGCACGGTAAATGAATGAACTCAGTACAATTGCTTCCAGTACTGTATCTATTTCATTTATCTATTTATGTGACAAGCAGCTTTAGCTTTAGCATCACTGAGCCAAATAGCATTTCTAACTGATGTTTGCACAACCCTGTCTCCCCATAGTTACTGTTGCTATGCCTGTCAAGCTTTTCATCTTCACATTGAAATTCTTAGAATTTTTTTTAAACAGTGGGTGGCTATTAGATTTCAGAAACCATTTGGAAATGACTACAGCTTTCCCCATGCACACCACTTCAGCATGTTGAAAAAGTTTGACAGGCCAGTTACAGTTGCTAAGGCTATGATTGGACTATCGTTGTCAGGGAAGTGGTTAATGAACAGTCTATTGTGATAGTTTCTAATGTCTGAAGGGAGCCTGAAGTAACAGTGGCATTGTTTCTTTGCAGGGCTTAGAAGATCAACTGTGTACATCCCTCTGCAGTAACCAGGTGGAGGCAGAAGTCATTGTTCACTCTGAGCTGTCAGATCCTGGAGGGGACAAAGAGGAAGAGGGCAGCGAGAGGGAGAAGGATTCTAATGCCACCAGGGGACCCTCATTATCCGAGGACAGATATTCCCCTTTGAGCCAGCCAAGCTTGCCAGGAGAGGAGGAACCTCTAGAAAAACTATCACTGGCGCAAAGCCCCTCAAGTTTTCCCTCGATTAAGTTGGTGGGTAATCATAACCGGGAGCTAGATATCCCAGGAGACCAGCCGGTTGCAGTCATACAGCCACATCAGGACATGGGGCTGACCAATGGCTTCCACTCCCCTAAGACTGTGAGGTCTGTGCTGAGGTCGGAGCATCTGGAGAACGGGGACTCCAGACACTGCCCTTCTGCACCAGGGAAGGCCATCTCTGTCGGGCTGTCCCCTGCCCCCTTTGTCAGCTCCGGCTTTGTCCACTCTACCTCAGCAGCACACAGTTATCTGTGCCCGTAGCGTCTGCATGTAGGGCATCGACCCTTACACAAACACAGACATCAGACTGATTTTCTTTCAAAAGTACAAAGTACCCAGGAAGAGTCCCTAAGGATTATTTTTATGCACCTCATTATTGGATTTTTTTCTCTTCCTTGCAAAGTTTTTATAAGTACTTTGATTCCATTGTTTCATACGTGTATATACAGTATACATATACAGTATATTTTTAGTGGTAGAGTACTGTATATGGGTATGCTTTCTCTAGCATTGCAACCATACTTTCCTCTGGGTTTTTTTCCTGTCCATAGGAAAGAACAGAAAGATTTAACTTAACCAAGCAGATGGAAGTGGATTGAAGGAGGCTATTCCCACTGTGTCGCACATGGCTCTGTTCCACTCAGGAATGAGAAAAAGCCTGGAACGTTCCCTGAGTGAGTGAGCACTTGGACAGGCTATAATCGTGGATGGAAGGATGGAAGCGGAGGCTCGGTGGGTCTCCCTGGGCTTCGCTGTGTGGATGCTACTTTACTGTGGCACTGAGGAATAAGCCTTAAAGAGTATCTGCACACTCTGAGAGTGCAGAACACCTGTGTCTCTCTCCAGCCTCCTGCTGTCTCAGGGTGCACATGCACACACACACACACACACACACACACACACACACACATTCAAACACAGTCAAAGGTAACCGCATAGCTAATTCCATGATATCTCACAGAAACTCAATTGGTCACGCTTAAACACACATTTACACACACATTTCCTGACGGGAGTGTGGGGGTCTCAGGTGCCTGAATATTCTAGGTGCATTTATAACCTCTGTATATTTCTATAGATTATTATATTCAGAACAAGTTCAAAACACATGTCAACATTAAGGGAAAAAAAACACTCAAAATATAAAAAGATATTGAGTATGTAGATTTGGTACACATGAAGTATTCCTTTCCAAAATGCCATATGTCCAGGTGGTGTGATTTTGTAAACCAGGGACACTCAGTTGAAAAGTGAAGTGTTTTTGTTTTGCTTTTTTTTTAAGATGGTGGATATCTCATTTTGGAATCAAAGTATTTACACATTCATGTCGACACTGGTTTAATTATGTTGGTGGGAGAACTAGAGGAGATGTTACAACAACCCATCTGTAGACCACTCTTCTGGTTTGTCTCCCAGTTAGGGATGCACCAATGTCCATACTGTTGTCAAGATACTGTGCTGTTAGTTGGACCCAATTGTCATTTTCAGCTCAGTATAAAATTTTTGATTATATGAAATGCTTGCCATGTTTTTAATTTACGGGACATTCATCTTGACAAACCTGATTCAGCTGTATGGGTCTCTAGTCAGACCCAGATACGAAAGGAGTTTGATGAGAAAAAATAAATAAATTTGCTCCATTTTTTTTTCTCTGACCCCATTGGATCATATTGCTTTTCCTAATTAACCAATACATAGAGCTGAGTGAGTCAGTATGGTTTTTAATGTAAAAGGGGAACTGGTGCATCCCTACTCCTTATCAACAGCACTACCTCATTTCTTTTCAGGACGGTTTCCAGTGTGGTTTTATTAGTGTTATGTAACTAGCACCTTTTTAAGATCTTTTTCTTAACTTGTCTGATTTGACAGCCTTTGGTATTTGCAGAAATGATCGTCCTATACTGACTGTATGTTCTTGTGTTATGTTCAACAGGAAATTATGTCGCTTTAGTGCATTGCAACCTCCTTTCAGTTCGCTGAAAGATTGTTTCACTCAGTATTATGTTGAACCCTTACAGAAAACAAGAACACACAAATCACGTAAAACTAGGTCTAGCCAAATTCTTCCAGTTGCAGTTCCCGTCAATCTGACGCCAGCTACAGACAAGGAAATTGATAGCTCCTGCAATTTGACACTTGTGCCACTTGTACACCCAATGGAATACATACACATATACTGTATAAATATATATATATATATGTGTGTGTGTGCGTGTGCGTGTGTGTTAGCGTTAGGCTTTTACCTGACCGGTAAAACAAGGTGTAAAATGTGAAACCTAAAAGTACTCACGCACAAGAAAACAGCAACAATAACAATAATCAGAGAGCCTGAGAGTCCAGAATGGAGGAAACTATCACAGCTTATTTATTAGCTGTTTTCCTGCATTAACATTTACTTAACCTCCTCTGTCAGAGTAAAAACTGTTCCACAAAAGAGCAATGGTTTACAGAACTGGAGTCGATGGTACAAATACCTCTTTTGAATAATTGTGTGGCTAGCAAGTTAACAGTTTGCTCACCAGCTACAGCAAGATTCAAGATTCAATACATTACCACTTAGTTTTTGCATACATAAGGATGATCTCAACTGCGGCTCTATAAAACTGCACAATACCATTCCTGGATATATTTTTTCAGATAGTCTTAAAAAGAAAAGTCTGTGGTGGTTGGCGTTTTCCCCCAATTTCAAGGGGCTAGGAGATTGCCACTCCCAGGAATTTGTAGCTAATGTCAGTGTTGATGACCAGGGGTAGGTGGTCCCAACAGCTCCTGTGAAAGTTCACTACTAATTCCTTGGTTTTTGGAAACATTTGAGGTTGTTTGCATTGTGTCATCAGCAGGTTTAAACATCCTAACAGCTTCGGAGTGAGAGAAGCAGTCATTTGTGCACAATGAGTACAGGAGTGGGGACAGTGCACACCCCAGTTGAGCGTCAGTGCTAATTGTTAAGGGTGTAGAGAATTTGCAAAGTTTGACTACTTTCATCCTCTTCAACAAAAATTCAAGGACTCATTGACACAGGGACTGTTTAACTCCCAAATGAAGGACTTTGTCATACAGCCTCAATGGGAGTTTAGTGTTAAAGGCTGAGCTGTGATCGACAAATGGCACACTTGCATAGGTACCAGAGGCCTCTAGGTTTTTTAAAGTGTGGGCAAATAAAACTGCATCAGTAGATACAAACTGATAAGGTTCTAGGACAACACTGGAGAAATGGTTTCGTACCAGGCGTTTCCATGATAACAGATGTCAAAGCAACAGGTCTGTAGTCATTCAGCATGCTTTGGTTGGGTTTCTTAGGCACAGGCACAATGACAGCTGATTTTAAGCATGCTGGGACCCTCTGCTGTGCAAGGAACCAGTTAAAGATGATACCAGATTGAGGCCTGCAGCCTTCCTACTGTTTTGCCTGCACAGTGGGTTTCTTACCTCATGCTCCCTGATAAATAAATGGTGGAGTAGCAGGCTCAGATACAGTGACAGAACAAGGCTGTGGGTTTGATTTAGTATCAAACCTGCAATAGGTTCTTCAAAACAGGTTAGGTTCAGTACCTTGGGTGACATAATTTGCTTTATAATTAGTGATTAATTGAAAGCCTTGCCGTAGCCCTCTGCTGTCCTTAGAGTTAAGCTCTTTTCTAGCTTGTCATTATACTGTTTCTTTACTGGCTTTTGAAATTCATACTTAGATGTCTTATAAAGATTTTGTCACCTGAATTGAAAGCTGCATTTTTCTTCCCCTGTTTTAATATCTTTACTAAACCATGGCTTATTATTACTGTAAACCATTACAGACTTGGATGGAGCACATACATCTTCAACACATTTGATGTAAGACATGACCACATCAGTAAAAGAGTCCAGTCATCATTTGGCTACTTCAATACAGTACAGTCATTTGTAGCAAGACAGTTGATCAGCATATCTGTCACTTGGGGGGAACACTGTTCAACAGTGCTCCTGCACGGTGTGTTGGCTTTTGGTCTGATGATACTTGGGACTTAGGAGGGAAGTATACGTTATCAGGATGAAAGATGCACACATAGAATCGTCTGCATGTGATATTAAGGGTCCCAAGTTCAGGAGAGCAAGACTATGACACAGTCTTAATGTCGGTACACCACCACCTCTGCGCTGCCTCAGTGACTTCTCTGTGCAATCCGCCTGGTATAGGGTGAAACCCTCCTGCTGCGGCGCCGAGTCATGTATCTTGTGGGTTTCAGTACAAGCACGCGACCGGACAGGCAAGCTTGTCATGTTCATTGAGAGAGAATCATACTAGGTAATGGTGTGCAGTGTCCACACCATCTTTGGCAGACCAGAAGGCCAGCTTGTCTCTCTCGTTTCCTGGGTTTTCGCAGCCTGATGTGTGAGCCTGCTGTGGCACTGACACTCTCATCAACAACAAAGTCATTCGAAGTTGATAGTCTGGAATTTTTCCCATGTATCTGCAATAAATCCAAACAATCATATCTGATCAAACACTGCACACTTTCCACACAAAGGAAAAAAAACAACCACACAGTATGAGCCTGATTATTCAAAATCAGTTCACCAGTTAGCCCTGTGAGTAGTTACTATGTGATCATGACTTAACACTCATTGCCTGCAGGTGGCACAAGTGTTAAAATGACAGTAGCTTTAACAGTGTATGCCTGTAGGTAAGCGATAATTGACATGTGAATGAGTTTGGGAGTTAGTTACAATCTAGTTCCCATAGGTGCTTCCCAGAAAGACTATTTTGAAGATGCTAACACTATAATTTAACAAATTTAACTTGTGGTGGAAAGAAAGGGCTGGTGTTACTCTGTATGAGTGTGATGTAGTCCTGCTATTATGGCATACATGTGCGTGATCCTGAAACAAGGAAAAGTTGGGGTCAGTTACTAATAATGATAATAATGATGATAACATCCTCTTACAAAAATTAGAGATTTAAGCAGAGCATTGAATCCAGCCCTATTGTACATGATGTCTCATCTTCTCTCAGGTGGTTTTCTTCTAGTCATCCAGCAGTGAAAAAGGAGTGTGACAAACCCCTTCTTCTGTCCTGCCTGTGTTTCTACCCATGTCCATGCAACTGTAAAAAATCTCTCCAGCTCAACTCAAACACATCAGCAACAGAAATGTAAAAGGTTCTTCATGACATCTATGAAACACCCTCAACAGGTTTCTTAACAACATAATTGTGTTTGCTTAAAAACTTTTATTGTTGCATAGTTGGTACCTCAAAGAGACTTATTTGTTATTTAGCCTTGCCATGTATGTACTTAACATCACAGCGAGATGAATATGATTTTTTTTTACTGCATTAGCAGTCATATAGGGACAGAAGTGAATGTGTTGTTAGCAAACCTGGGTCAAACAGTAATTGGAAGTTCATCTAAGTGTGCATGAGGGGGGTTTGCTATATCAGGTGAATTCAGATTTCACGGCTAAATACATCTAAAATATATGGCACTCACTGCACAGTGCTATTTGGCAAACCACATTTGAATAGTATGGAAAGAGCAATTCAACAGAAAGCTCACATTGGAAGCAGACTGCTGCTGCACCTCTCAACTCATCAATCTAAAGTGGCAAGCGTGTTTTGTTTTTTTTTTGTGGCCATGGTCCAATCAGTCATGTCAGAGCAGGTAACAGTGAAGCACCTGCTGTGACTTCATTGATTCAGGTGACAGGTTAAGTGTACAGAGAGCAATGCAGCCACAGCTTCCTGCCTTGTGGCTTGAGGATCACTTGGTCTATACACAGTAAAAGCTGAAGCAAACCACCCAAACTGTGCATATTTTTGACCCAGGTTCTTTACTGATACTGTTCTATATATTGATAACTGTTTCTCATCATCCTCAAACACTTGTAAGTCCTCAGTCCAGAAATATTCTCAAAAGCATTCCAGTTTGATATCTTAAACATACCTCTCTCAGTCCAGGTCAGCCACGATTAGCCATGCTACCTTAAGAAGAGACGTGCTAAAACCCCAGTGACTGTGTTCCTGCTGCTCTGACAGGCTTCATCCAGACCCAGGTTCAGCTCCTCCATTCACTACAGCATTTGCAGGTACTGCAGCCTAAGCTGCAATGTGTGCAAAACTGCTTTGACAACCAACAAGTGGGAGGCAATCACTGAATCAGGGCAGTAAAGATAAGTGTTTTGAGTCAGTCATGGTGACAAAAACATTTTCTTGTTGATCCTCATCTTACAGAGGCTTTTCACACCCTATAATTTCTTGTGAAGTTGTCTCACACCCAACATTTTCAGGAGAAAATAATACACCAAGTACAAGTTTTTATTTAGTATGTATATTTTTCATAAACGCATGAAAAGCAGGCTTTGCTTTGCACATAGCAGCTGTTCCGCTCTCCAACACGGAGGGTGTTAATTTTGTGAAAAAGCCTCTGTTGTCACTGCAGACAGACCACAGCCATTTGGCACTCAAGTAGACTAACAGAAAGTACGTATTATTTGCTGATGCTCCTCTGCCCAATAATAGATAAAGTAAACTCTGAACCAGTGAGCACATTTGTTCTATTGGACATTCTTCACATTTGGAAATGAGTTGATTTGTGCCAGTGAGTTGCAGTTTTGTGGA